AGGCTGGGGGATGGGGGTGCCTGGAATTCCACACCTGCCATGGATTTCTGGAGTCTGTGCACTCAGAGAGACCTTCACTGGGTTCACAATCTTTAACCTGTCCCAAAGCGCTCAGGTTATCTCTGTTTAACGGCAGCAGAATCCCTACTCTATGTCTTGCTAGGTGAGAGTGGTGCCAATCTGTTGCTCCGTGGTGACCATCTTGGCTCCTCATTTGTTAAAATAAAATGTTCATCCATTTTTTCACCTAATCTCATAGACTAGATACACAAAACCCAATTTAATTCAAACCACTCAGCTTACTGATGATAAGGCGGAGCCCAAATGATATACCAACAAAATGAGAACCAGGACCCATGTCCAGTTTGAGACTTTTTCCACATACATTATTATGCTACTTTACTTTTTAAATGCAAGTTTAATATGTGATTTCTTGGCACAGGGTCTTCCAACAGGTGGTTCAAACTACTTTTAACCTACAGTCTCACTGGTTTTTGGAGAATCTCTTTGAAGAGGAGGAAGTAAAAATTATTGTTCTGGTCCTGCCAGTGGACAGACAGAAGCACAGAATAGTCTGTAACTGCTCAAGGCTGGCTCAGGTAGAGTTTATATCTTTTCATGTTCACCTTTTCCTCCACTTATTTGCTCAATAAGTATATGTTGATGAGATTATGTCTAGAATGCACATCCTAGATATCTCAGATTCAAAGTTAAGGGAATTTTCCAAGCTACTCTTCAGTTTATAGCTACTCTACACATATAATGGACTAGAAGACTAATCTGTGGATAGCAGAGGCTTTGTTAGAATGGGTTAAGTTAAAAATTTTATTACTTTAGGATTTACACAGTGGTATCAAGAAATAGTGAAAAAAATATGGTAACTGTCCATAATTCTGACCTTACAAAATTAAAGGTAAACTCCAAATATCTCTCTTTTATCCATAGGTTCATCCAAGACCATCTTACTTCATACTTTTATCCATATCACCTGAGAGGGTTCATTACCAGTCACTCAACAATCACTCTTATCCATGTTTCGTATTGTTTTTGGAAATCAAATTGTGTTTGCTTAAAACAGAAGGAAATCTAATCAATGTAAGAGTAAAGGAACTTTTGCTAGTTTCCCAATAAATTGTGAACACATTTCATCTTTACATAGTCTATCTACATTTGACATGGGAAGCGTATTCACTTATATGATGAAGTAAGCTTTAGGAAATCTATATCTTAAGCAGTTAACTTCAAGATTCCTTTAATAGTGCCCAAATAATGTTTTCATAGGTTATCAGAATATTTTCTCTTTTTTGAATGTTGACTCTAAGCCAGAATGATTTAAGTAATGCTTAATCCATTAATCCTTTCCACATGCTTGAAAGAGGTATACTGTCATAGAAAGCAAAAGGAATTATGAGGGGGTGCTAGAGACAGATAATCTTCTCGGTAGGAGTGCAATCAAATCAGCAGTTTCTAACACAATTCTATACTAATAAAAGCAGTTCAAAATGATCTACAATTTTGTTTAATCATTTAATATTTCTGAAGTGCGTATGAGATCTACAGTATATACATGGAGAATAATTTCAGGTAAAAGTAAAATTTCTATATAGAAAGAATTTTTAAGTTGATGTCATTGGAACTAGGTTTAGCAGTTGTGTTGTTTTGAATGTGGCATCTCTTAGTTAAATTTAAAGAGAGAGAAAAAAAAGAGAGTCACTGTTTCAGTATGTTCAGGCTGCAAGAAAAAAAATGCCATAAACTGTGTGGCTTATAAACAATAAACATTTCTTTCTCTCAGTTGTGGAGGCTGAGAAGTCCAAGAGTAAGGAGCTGGCAGTGTATGGTGTATAGTATATGGCGTATGGTGAGGACCCGTCCTTCATTGACAGTGCCTTCTTGCTGCAATCTTACATTATAGAAGGGAATATCAAGCTCCCTCAGACCCCTTTACTAAGGACACTAATCCCATTCATGAGGGCTCCAATCTTTTGACCCAGTTACCTCCCAAAGCACCCCTTTCTTAATATTATTGCATTGGAAATTAGACTTCAACCTATGCATTTTGAGGGGACACATACATTCAGACTACATTTCTAAAACAAGGAATTACTAGTAAGGATTAGATTCTTTCATTGTCCATGTTCTTATAACAGTAGTTACCAATTAGCTGTGATTTTTCATAAAATGCATGTTGGAGGCAAAGTTAGCCTGAAGAGAGCTGTGTCTTTTGCAATAAGATGTAGAAATGGAAAATTAGAAAGTTGTTTTCAAAGAATGAAGAGAGGTCTAGGAGCTGTGCAGAAGAAAAGGCAATCTCCCAACCAGATCCTTATGAAGGGATGAGTGTCTTTTAAGGCAGGAGTCTCCAAACCACAGACCAGTTTCCTAGTGCGTAACTCCTGCTGTGCAATCCATGGCCTGTTAGGAACCAGGCTGTACAGCAGGAGATGAGCAGTGGTGAGCGAGTGAAACTTCATCTATATATACAGCCTCTCCCCATCGCTCACATTACTGCCTGAGCTCTACCTCCTGTCAGACCAGTGACAGCATTAGATCCTCATAGGAGCATACACCCTATTGTGAACTGCACATGAGAGGGACCTAGGAGCATGCACCTTATGAGAATCTAGTGTCTACTGATCTGAGGTGGAGCTGAGACGGTGATGCCAGTGCTATCTCCCATCACCTCCAAATGGGACCATCTAGTTACAGGAAAGCAAGCTCAGGGCTCCCACTGATTTTACATTATCATGAGTTGCATAATTATTTTGTTAGATATTACAACATAATAACATAAAGTACACAATAAATGTAATGTGCTTGAATCATCCCCAAACCATCCTCCACCAATCCAGTCCATGAAAAAATTGTCTTCCACGAAACCAGTCCCTGATGCTAAAAAGGTTGGGGACTACTGCCCTAAGGAACATGGACCATCACAAAAAGGTCTTTAGTCATTCTCCCTTGGGGATTAGAGAAGATGAGCTGAGGATGAATTAAAAGTGAGGGAATAATTTCAAAATTCCAATCTAGGATGAATGAATTCATTGTTTCTGTGCTGCAAGGGTCATCTTCCCATTTTTGCAGTAGTGGAATACTTTAGGGATGGGGATGGGGATGGGGAAGAGAGTAATAGAATGGGATGAGGCTAGTAGAACTAGTAGTAGAATGGTGATGAGCATAGCATAGTTATCTATTGCTTCTTAACAAATCACCCAACACATAGCAACTTCAAGCAACTCATATTACCTATCTTACAGGGTTTCTGAGGGTCAGGAATTTAGGAGTAACTTAACTGCATGGCTCTCACTTGGGATCTCTCATGAAGTTGAAATTAAGCTGCTGGTTGGGGTTGTAGTCATTCCAAAGCTCCATGGGGTCTGGATAATCCATTTACAAGATGGATCACTCTTGTGGTATAGACAGGAGGCCTCAGTTTCTCGTCACATGGGCTGCTATGGGTCTATATGACATGGCAGCTGTGTTTACCCCAGAGAGAGTGATCAAGAGGGAGAGAGCAGGAAGCCATAATATCTTTTATGACCTAATCTTCAAAGTCACACACCGTGACTTCCACTTTATTCTGTTTGTTAGAAGTGAGTCATTAAGTTCAGTGCACATGCAATGGGGGGGGAGGGGAGGAGGGCACTCCCATATTTTGAAGAAAATATCAAAGGGTTTGTGGACATTTTAAACCACCACAAATAACATCCTATGTGAAGATATAAGGGAAGAGAGTCAGGGGACGTGAACAGTTGAGAACTCCAGAACGTAAAGGTTTTAGTAGAATTTAATAGTTTCAACTAATTCGTCAAAAGGATGCAAAGTTATGCTTCCTGTTCTTGCCTCTGACAATTTCCCTTTGTCCAGATTTCCTCATTTACATATTTCATTATTCCTTTTAAAAATTTGCTCATAATAACTCCTCAGAGTAACAGTGGAGCTGTGAAAATACTGCTTAAAATGCATAAAACAAGCATAATAATAACATTGGAGCCAAGTGGAATGTGACTTTGATTCCAGGGGCAAAAAGTTCATTCTTTGTTAGCCAGTAGTAAGTTTGACATATATCTTATGCGCCTATTTCAAAAGAGATGCTTAGATGAAAGAGATGCATAAGAAGAATAAATTGTTAATGTGTTCATTTATTTATTTGGCAAAAATTTGCACCAGACTCTATGATAGGTGGTAGAAACAGAAAGAAGGAAGGGATAAGTTCCACCTTAAGAGGTCACAGTCTGCTGTGGGAAATGGACATGAAACCCATATCATCATGTGATAAGCTATACTCGAATGATCTCTTGGTCTGGGCATATCTGTCATTCTTCACTTTGGTACTCCTTAAGAGCAGAGATGGTCTTATTTAATTTTCTACTGCTAGCACCCAGCACAGTGCCTGGCCCATAGAAGGAGCTTAGCATGTCTGATGAATTTGTCACTAAATCCAATTTGTCCTAAAGGCTGAGACACTTAGAGAGATGAACTAGCTAAACACAGTACAGTGGCCCTCAGAAAGAGCTTAGCACGTCTGATGAATTTGTCACTAAATCCAATATATTCTAAAGGTTGAGATTCTTTTTTTTAAACCATAATTTGACTTTTTTTAGATTAGATATTGTTATATTTTATTTATTTCCTATTCCAGCTTTCAAAAGGCTTACAACTGAGAATTGCAAAAAATGACAAGTTGCATTTACAGAAAATTAAATGTAAATATTTACAAAGATGAAGATCCTTACTTATTTAATAAAATGTAAATATAGACAAATGATTTAAGAAAAAATGTTCTTTGCCACCATAGCATGTAATTTAATGTCATGTCCCAGGTTGAGACTTAAAGAGACGAACTGGCTAAACATAGCACCAGATGCTGGCTGGCTCTCCTTCCTTTCCTGCTAACGGTGATGAAGGAGGTACTTTCTGTTTGTGGTTGCAGGTGTGCAGACTTCTAACATGACCTTCTCTCTTCGCTGCAGATGCAGCACAGCTGTCTCTAGGGATCTCTATTCCTGTGAGGCAGCTTTGGGCCTCACTGATCTCTGGGAGCTCCTTTCCGGCTTCTCACTTCCTAGGGACCCATTGTAGCTGACAGTGCATTTAGGCTGCTGGTTACGAGGAAAATCTGAGAGGGAACATGGAAGAAGTTCCTCTCCCTTTTGTTCAGGAAAGGTACATTTTTTAAAAAGCCCAGAATAGAATTATCCATCTCTTTGTTCTAAAATTACAATACTTTAGGCAGAGATTTTTTGGGTGATTTTTCCATAAAATGTAAAATATGGATACAAAAAACCTCACTCATACAAGGTTTCATTAGACCTAACAGTTCAATGTGAGTTCCAGTGTCAACTTTTGCATATAAACAAGTTCCCTGATCATTTAGTATATGCAGTGAGTGTTTGTGTGGTTTTATTTGTCTTTTTTCCAGGGCATTTCAGTTCAAAAATAAGTCAAATCGCACATTATTAGGTATTTCTCAGAGTACGTCAACATGAGTTCCTGCCATGTAAAATACAAAACATGGTCAATGTTACTTCATGGCAAGATTGGTTGGAGCTACCTGCTTTCTTATAAATGTGCATCACAGACTGACTCTGAGACCAAGACAACTACATAGAACACTTCAGCACAGTCCCAGGCAGAAATCTATATGCCATAGACAGAATTGTTTACGCCAGCTATGAAAACGAAGATATTGTTACACTAGAAGGTGATATGACACATTAGGTGCACCAATTGATAGGTGACAAGAAGTGTTACTCATATTACATGATCAACAAACCATTCATCCATCCATTCATTCAATAATTTTTTATTGAGTATGGCTGGGCATGATGGCTTAAGTCTGCAATCCCAGCACTTTGGGAGGTTGAGGTGCGAGGATTACTTGAGCCCAGGAGTTCGAGACCAGTCTAGGCAACATAGTGAGATCTTGTCTCTAAAAAAAAAAAAAAAAAAAAAAAATATATATATATATATATCTGGGCATAGTGGCACACAAGTATATGCCTGTAGTCCCAGCTATTCAGGAGGGCTCAGGTGGAAGGACTGCCTGAGCTCAGGAATTCCAGGCTTTAGTAAGTAAGCCTTGATTCTGCCCCAGCACTCCAGCCTGGGTGACAGAGTGAGACCCAGACCCAAAAAACAAAAATCAAAATATTTATTGAGTATGTAGTTGGTACCAGACATTGTTCTAGATATTGGAGGCACAGTGGTAAAAAAAGAGACAAGAACCCTTTTTTCATGAAGGTTGCATTTTTAAAGTGGAAAGACAGATTACAGACAAATAAATAACAACAAACAAGCAAGGACCTAGTGATTAAACTCGGGATAAGAAACAGGGGATGTGATAGCAATTGAATGGTCAAGGTTAGGTTTTCTAAGGCACTGGCATTCCAGCTAAAACCTGAATGACAAGAAGGTATCTGCTACAAGGGCAGACACATGGACCAATGGAATACAATAGAGAATCCAAAAATAAACCCAAATACCTACAACCAACTGATCTTTGCCAAAGCAGGCAAAAACATACATTGGGGAAAGGATGTTCTATTTAACAAATGGGAAAATTGGATAGCCACATGCAAAAAAAAAAATTAACCCCATAAAAAAAAATTAACTCATGATGGATTAAAGACCTAAATGTCAGACCTGAAACCATAACAATTCTAGAAGAAAACCTAGGAAAGCCTCTTCCAGACATTGGCCTAGGCAAAAGGATTTATGGCTAATATTACAAAAACAAAAAATAAATAAGTGGGACTTAATTAAACTAAAAAGCTTCTGCATAGCAAAATAAATAATCAGCACAGTAAATAGGCAACCTACAGAATAGGAGAAGATATTCACAAAGTATGTATCTGATAATGAACTAATATCTAGAATCTACAAAGAACTCAAACAGATCAGCAAGAAAAAACAAATAATCCCATTTAAAAGTGGGTACATGACATGCCCAGGGGGCACACAACATTCAAAAGAAGATATACAACAAATGGCCTACAAACATATGAAAACATGTTCAACATCACTAATCATCAGGGAAATGCAAATCAAAACCACAATGAGAAACTACCTTATATCAGTCAGAATGGTCATTAAAAATAAAAAAATAGATGTTGGTGTGGACATGGTGAAAAGGGAACACTTACATACTGCTGGTGAGAATGTAAATTAATACAACCTTTATGGAAATCAGTATAGAGATTTCTCAAAGAACTTAAGTAGATCTACCATTCGATCCAGCAATCCTACTACTTGGTATCTACCCAAGGGACCAGAGGTCATTATACAAAAAAAGGTACATGTGCGTGCATGTTCATCACAGCACAATTCACAATTACAAAAATGTGGAATCAACCTGAATTCCCATCAACTGATCAGTGGATAATGAAAATGTGGTACACACACACACACACACACACACACACACACACACACACACACACCATGGAATACTATTTAGTCACAAAGAAGGACAAAATAATGTCTTTTACAGCAATTTGGATGGAACTAGAGACCATTATCCTAAGTGAAGTAATGCAGGAAACCAAATACTGCATGTTCTCACATGTAAGTGGGAGCTAAGCTAAGGGTCTGAAAGGCATACAGTATGGTATAATGGACATTGGCCACTCAGGAGGAGGGCAGGAAGGGAAGGAAGGATGAAAATCACCTACTGGGTACAATGTGCACTAATGGGGGTGATGAGGAAAGCCCAGACTTTTCCATGACTCTACAGTGCATCCATGTAACCAAAAACCATTTGTACCCAAGCAGCTACTGAAATTTAAAAGAAAGAAAGAAAGAAAGGAAGGAAGGAAGGAAGGAAGGAAGGAAGGAAGGAAGGAAGGAAGGAAGGAAGGAAGAAAAAAAAAAGAAAAAAGGAAACTGCCACCTGAGAATCTGGAGTAAGAGCACTTTCCATGGAGGGCAGAGAAGGTAGAGAAAGTGGACAATGAACTTGGTGCTGGGAGGACCAGAGAAAAGGCAGTGTACCTGGAGCACCATGGGAGAAGTAAGAAACAGAAATGGAGAGAGGACCAGGACCCAATCATGAGGCAGGACAATGAAAAAAAATGGAATAGAATGTGAACTAGAGGGAATATGGGAATCAGATGATATGGAAACATAAGGCAACCAATAATCCCAACACTTTGGGAGGCCAAGGCAAGAGGATTACCTGAGCTCAGGGGTTCGAGACCAGCCTGGGCAATTTGGTGAGACCTCATCTCTACAATAAATAAAAAAATAAGCTGGACGTGGTAGCATGTACCTGTAATTCCAGCTACTTGAAAGGCTGAGTGGAAGGATTGTCTGAGCCCTGCAGTGGTCATAAGTGTGCCACTGCACTCTAGCCTGGGCAACAGAGACTCTTGACAAAAAAAAAAA